ATTATTTATTATATATATATATATATATATATATATATATATATATTGCAAGTGTGCGGTGCTTGTGTACGTATATGTGCTCGTGTATGTCAACATGATCAAATTTATATTTTAGATTGATCTTTTTATAATAGAGTACCCATTATTTAAAAATCTCGAATACACTTGTGTGTAGTATATTAGACTCTTTTTTACTCTTATCAGAGTTGTGGATTTGTAATGTTACGGTGGCTCTTATTTATAGTGATGAGTTACACCTGAATTCCTATATAACCAAATATTTTATTAAATGTTTTGTTGATAAATAATTAAATAATGTCTCTTTACATTCATTACTTTTTGTAATATTATTATGACGACAAATTATATCAATTATTCTTTTTGACCAAAAATAAAATTAATAGTAAATATGTTTTTTACTTTCTTAAAAATTTTATTTAATAAATAATTAAATAATGTCTCTTTTCATTCCTTACTTTTTGTAATATTATTATGATGAAAAATTATATTAATTATTCTTTTTGACCAAAAATAAAATTAATTTTATTTTTAACTTAATATTAAATATGTTTTTTATTTTCTTAAAAAAATTATTTAATAAATAATTAAATAATGTTAATTTTCATTCATTACTTTTTGCCATACTACAATTTGACCGTTAAATAACAAAAGATGTGACCGTTATATATTTATTTTTTTGTATTTCACTTTCTTCTTATTATTATTAACATGTACAAATACAATGAAAGAGAATTAAACTTCATTAAAAGAGTAATTTATGACTATAGAATTGAACATGTAACTTTTTTTGGAATTTTTGTGATTCCTTTTAACAATTTTGCTAAATTTTTAAACTGTACCAAAAGGTGTATGTGTAGTGAAAAATTAAAATTTGACCTATCTATGGAGAGTCCGAGACGCATTTAAAGGGGAGGGGATCACCAAGTTCATGTGAATGATGTTTTCCATCCGAGATCATATATAGTAGTATTATATTTTTAGAAAAATATTAAAATGTACATGTGTGAACATCAAATAATGCGATAATGACTGATGACTGCGTGCACCGCTCTACATGAAGTTAAAAATTTAAATTTTATATTTTTGTTATTTTATTTATTTTCTAAAACTAGATAATACTTCTCTAATTGGTAATTGGTAATTGTTAAAACTGTTGACATTTTAATTAATTAATTTTATATATATGCGCTTGCGGACGCGTGCGCATGCAAACGTGCGGACGTGCATGTGTGCGCGCATGTGTGTCAACCTGGTCAAATTTATATTTTGTATTTATCTTTTTACAATACTGTACCCATTATTTCAAATTTTTGAATACACCTTTGTGTAGTGTATTAGACTCATTTTTACTCTTCTCATAGTTATGGGTTTTCAATGTCAGAGTGACTCTTATTTATAGTGATGAGTTACACCTGGTTTCCTATATGACCAGATATTCTATTAAATGTTTTGTTGATAAATAATTAAATAATGTCTCTTTTCATTCATTACTTTTTGGAGTTTGTCAAATTATTACGATAGCAAATTATATTAATTATTTTTTTGACAAAAAATAAAATTAATTTTATTTTTAATTTAATATTAAATATGTTTTTACTTTCTTAAAAATTAATAAATAATTGAATGATGTTCATTTTCATTCATTACTTTTTGTCATTCTACAATTTTGGCCGTTAAATAAGAAAATAAGTGACCTATATATATTTATTTTCTTATTATTACTAACATGTACGAACACAACAAAAGAGAATTAAAACTTGATTAAAAGAGTAATATATGACTATAGAATTAAACATTAAACCCTTTTTAGAACTTTTGTGATTTCTTTAATTATTTTTTGCTAAATTTTAAGATTGTACCAAAAGTGTTAATACTAGTATGTGTACTGAAAAATTAAAATTTGACCTATCTATGGATTGTCCGAGGCGCATTTAAAGAGGAGGGGATCACCAAGTTCATGTGAATTATGTATTCCGTTCGAGATTATATATAGTAATATTATATTTTAAAAAAATATTAAAATGTAAATGTGTGAACATTAAATAATGTGATAATGACTTATGACTGGGTGCATCACTCTACATGAGGTTAAAATTTTTAAATTTATATTTTTTCTTATTTGATTTATTTTCTAAAACTAAATAATACTTGTCTAATTGATAATTGTTAAAACTGTTGGAATTTTAATTATATATATTTATATATGTGTGTGTATGCGCATGCGTGCGAGCGTGTGGACGTGTGTGTGGTGTGTGCACGTTTGTGTCAACTTGATTAAATTTATATTTTATATTGATCTTTTTATTATAATGTATCCATTATTTCAAAATCTTGAATACACCTGTGTCCTCTCAAGTTGTGGTTTTTCAATGTTGCAGTGACTCTTATTTATAGTGATGAGTTACACCTAGGTCCTATATGACCAAATATTCTATTAAATGTTTTATTGATTAAATAATTTCTCTTTTCATTCACTACTTTTTATCATATTATTATGATGACAAATTATATTAATTATTTTTTTGACTAAAAATAAAATTAATTTTATTTTTAATTTGATACTAAATATGTTTTTTACTTTCATAAAGATTTTATTTAATAAATAATTAAATAATGTTCATTTTCATTCATTACTTTTTGCCATACTATAGTTTTGCTCTTAAATAAAAAAATATGTGACCGTTATATATATATATATATATATTATTTCACTTTCTTCTTATTATTATTAACATGTACGGACACAATAAAATAGAATCAAACTTGATTAAAAGAGTAATGTATAACTATAGAATTGAAGATATAACCTTTTTTTGGAACTTTTGTGATTCCTTTATTTTGCTAAATTTTAAAATTGTACCAAAAGGTGTTATCACTAGTATGTATACTAAAAAATTAAACTTTGACCCATCTATGGAGTGTCCGAGGCGCATTTAAAGGGGAGGG